TACAGCAAGTCAAACATTGTTTTACATTTTGGTGTCAGGGGGAAGTCCGTTTTATTATTTTGTCCATGCAATGTGAGGTTTCGGTTGGCCAGTAAATGCTAACAGAAAAGTAAGAGAACCGTATGCGTCAGCATTGAACAATAGCAGAGATAAACTAATTGAAACACTGAAAGTGTCTTATGCAGAGGGGGGGGGGGGGGGGGGGGTTGAACTTGGCAGTTTGTTTATCCGGATGAGCTTGGCCATCGTGACGTCACAAAAAGAGAAGCGCACAACTTCCGCCGTTGCCATTTCTAAATGCCAATTTTTAAAGTTGGTTTTCCTGGATACTGAAACGTCTCTTGTATTTTGATTCGTATCTACGGGCTCGCCAAAGTACGGCGTGATTAAAAATATCCCAAGATACTACATACTAAACCGTCCGATAAGATATGAATATTGTAAAAATCGATGAGGTGTTGAAAATCGAAACTTGGCATAACGGTAGGTTACTTCTATTGGAAACCATTGTCTCTGAAGTTAAACGCGAGAAACGAGCAGGAAAAATGATCAGTCCTTTCGAGTGCGTTGAGTTAAAGGAGCTGTGTCATGAAATTTATTAAACAGTGAGAATTGGCACCAAATTAAGTGAAACATTGAAAATAACTGTTCAAAACGTTCAAAGAAGGTATTATTTAACTCAGCAAATACAAAAGGAGTCTTGGAGGGTCAAATATAAAGAAGATTCAAACAGTTTTGACAGTGGTTTTTGAAAACTTGTAGCCTAACAGTCTTTCAAAGTTCATTTTTGTTGATTGTAACGTTTGGTGTATTTATAGGGAGACAAATTCACCTGACTTGAAGCTGAGATTTTGTCATTCACAAGTAATTTCTTAATTTCATAGCGAATATTAATATTGATTTCCAGCCCCGTGTATTTTGTATGAGTGTATTTGAGCAAAATTTACGTTCACAAATAAAATAGAGACAATGCATGAAAGTTCGCTCGTAAGCATAAATGTTGAACCTCGCTCAACTTCTCGTTCAAGGTTAGCAAAAAAAAAAAAAAGGAAAGGCAGTATACTTTGTAGAGGTTTTAAAATGAGAACTAACTGTGTTTCTTTATAGGTCAACGTATAAATGTTTCATGGATCAAGAGGGTTATCCACACAAGTGACTAAACACAACAGGTTGACATTTGCAGTTACAACAACTAATGGTGGTGGTGGTGGAAGGGGGGTTGGGGCGTGGGAGGGGTATCACTGTCCTTGATTCAGAGGTGAGTACACTGAAGACTGTAATGTTTCCAAACCTTTTGTTTCTGAAAGTTGATATTGAAACCTGTGATACCCTCTATTAGTAGTATTAGGTGTTCAGAGGCCTAAGTCACTTATTTATTTCCCATATTCATCGTAAATAGCCTGGCTAGAACCTTTGTCTAAGAGAGGGTCTAGGGAGTCTGGACACCCCTTAAAGGCAGTGATCTGCATGGCAAGTTACAAATTACTAGAAGAAAAAAAAAAAGAAAAGAAAGAAAACATGTAACAGCCCGGAAGGGTGGCATTGATTAGCTATGTGACAGTTTCTATGGAAACACAAATCTGGACTCCATCCAGTAATAAATCTGGAATCTGCCCTTGCTGATCAGTTTAGGATGTACGCAACATCCAAATGCATTCTTTTTTTTTTGCCATATGCTCACTTTTCATCCAAAAATCAATTGAAAATAAAGTCAGATTTCTTTTTCACTTAACTGCAAGGTGAACCAAGGGCCAATGGGTGCTGATAGCCCATAACCCCATTACAAGATTCTTTTTTACTGGCCAGCTGCAATGACCAATCTACATTTTGGCAAAAGGCATTATAGAGAGGTTTAATCGAACGTTGAACGTATCTGTGGTGACAGACAGGGGGAGTCGTTAATCAGAGAGGTGGTGTTAATACAATACATAACAAGACTGAAAATACCCACCACCTGGCTGCAAAATTGGTTTACTCTACCCTGGAAACATAATATTATTACCTTAGATAATTTACTTCATCAGTGCGGTCTTCCGACAAAGCAGCTGTATGTTCACGATCTGTATTCTCCATAACTGAAAATGGCGCTTTCATCATTGCCGATAAGATTACGACTTTAGAGTCACTGATAATTTCTGTTACGTTACTAAATGTTTCACTCTTGATACTTATTGAAAGACCCAAGCAATATAGATTCTATGTGTCTCTCTGAGTTTTCAACTGTTTTGTATTCTTTCGACGTCCGTCACTGAAGATGCGCTGGGTTTCATTATTTCATCTAGAGATCTATCTCAAGAAATGCTTGCTTTATGAACGTAAAAGCGCTGGTTTCTAGAGGTTATTGCCAATTTCAGAGACAAAATGCGTTGGTAGCTACATTCCTTTAGCCTTTTTATTGTTTTGATTCGGAATTTCTCCATCAGGAGCATCAAAACAATTTTCTCCCATAAAAACCTTTTAAACTTCCCGGGATAATTGCTTGTGACGTCAAGATGGCAAAGCACATCAGCAGCGCGATCCCTATAGGAGAGATCCATGAGGTAATCACCCTCCCCGGCTTCATGTGCTTGCATATTCTAATATAAACAGGAGAGAACGCGTGTTTACACCAGACGCGCAAATTTCACCACTCGCATTCATTGTTTTTACATAGACCCTAATGCACCTTGTTTACCCACCCTCCCCCTTTCCCAAAATTGTGTATAACCATTGTTTTCAGTTTCTCCTGGGTATTACAGTCGTCCCGAGGTAAATCGAAGACCATGGTTATGCAAAAGCTTGGGTCACGGGAGATGGGGGGGAGGGTAAATAAGGAAGGTGCATTATGGTCTATTTGAAAATGTTAAATTGAGATTGTTAGGTTGGGAAATTTTGCATAAATGAATTCCAAAGGCAATACAGTTGAAAAAATAAAATACCCCTGTTGAAATTGGCTCGTCTGACGTAATCTTGCATAAGGTACATTCGTAAAAGTTACACATTTTCTATTACTTTATAAATAATTTTGTCGCCAAAAAAAAGCAAACCCCTTTGCTTTTGGTGGTGATGAAAAGAAAAATTCCCACTAGGCGCGAAGTGTTGTACACGAAGTTTTGTACACTAAATCAGTTCTTGTTTTGCAAATAAGTAATGCTATAAAAAAATGATTTTTCTCGCGTAGAATGTCAGCTAAAACGAGGAAACTTTCAAAAAGCATGTTTTTAGAAAAAATCGCGGTTGTAAGATCAGCGCGCGCCCAACAAAACATGGTGACGTAGTAATACCGTTTACATATGCTCTCCTGCAAACACACTTGCAGACCTAGAAATTTTCACTGATTGTGAGTTAACGTCGTAAGAACAATAGTCATTTATTCCGATGTTTTGAAAACGTAATGCTGTCTACGAACAGTCAATACCAGACGGGAATTGGTATGAGGCAGGCTTGGCTCTAACATCCAAAGGTTTAAACTGACCTACCTTGGTTAGGTTTAGGACACAGCAGTATTCCTGGTGAACCCCCATTGAGTAAATCAACCTGTATCCATTCCAATTCACTGATTCTAATTCATGGAAAGACACAACATAGGTTACTTTTATAGCCAGTATATAGAAGAAGAAGACAACGAGGAACATAGCCAGTATATAGAACAAGACGACAACAACAAAGAAGAAGAAGAAGAAGAAGAAGAAGAAGTAAAATGACTGAGCTTGATCTAGTGGTCTTAACCCTGTTTCAAGCTTCTCTTCCTCATAATTCTCAGAAGCACTTAGCCAAAACAAATCCCAAAGCTTTAATTGTGCACCCGCCTTGCCACTTGTCAAGGAGTTGCTATCCCTGTTATAAGGGATAAGGAAAAAAATCGCAAATAGCTGGCCGGCGCCACCCCAGAGAGTTTCCAGTCCCCTTCTCGTTTCTAAAGTGGCGAATAATAGGAGTTTATAATTCCAAAAAAAAAAAAAAAAACGCAAACGAATAATCGTTGTTGTTATTTCTGTTTGTTTGTGTTTTGATTGACATGAATAGAGTCAAAGCCATTGTTAAGCAGAAAAATCACACTATCTTTAGGGACTGCGTAATAATTACCTGGAAGGGGGGGGCAGGGAAATGGTGACATATGCCCCAAAACTAAGTCATACCCCCCTCTCATTAACCAAAAATTAATTTCAACCCCCCGTCACATAATGATAATATTAAGGCTACCCCTTTGTTGGATTTCCTCCTCCGGTACAAACATCACTTCAAATGACTCTACGACGTATGTCGAAGAGTCATTTGAAGAGTCATCAGAATCACTGGACTCTGAGCTCGTGTCGTCTTCGCATGAATTGGGATACTCGTCACCTTCTACAGCATCTCTGGCACTAAGGTTCCCGCGTGCGTGGGTGAGAACTCAGGAATTCCTGTCTGATTGAGCTTTGTTTTTGAAGTTCAATTTAATCATACTGTGTTTTATTTACCATACTTTAAATTTGTATTGCTGTAAAAATTTCAACAGTTGGATTTTTCATTCTGCTCAATTATGATGCCACGTGTGCTAACATTAGCATCTTTCTTTTTCATTGAATAACATTCTAGTGCTACTTTTGCAACTTTTAATCAAAGTTTCCCGTTTTATTTATTTAGGAAAACAACAGTTCATAAATTTGTCAGTTTTATTCCAATGTTAGGATTTATATTTGAACTCCAATAACTCTTCCACTACTTTTCCAGTTTCAAAAAGGAATGAAAAAGTAATGCTCCCCTCCCCTGTATGTATTAAATTTTACATCCAACCCCCCTCTATCTTGTTGTCATTTTCTCCTATGCCCCCTCTTATTTTCCAACCCCCCGCACAATCCCTAAGCCACAAATATATCATTCTGTATAGAGACAAAACACTACCGGAGTGGCCATAATGATAATGATGATCATGATGATGATGACGATGATGCTAGTAAATTAAACTTACCGGGTGGAGGAATCCAACATACATCTACATAAAACCTGCCATTGGTACTAAGTCTTTTCAAGGCTAGGGTTATGTTGTCTTCAGGTACGGAGAGAAAGTAAGACGTATTCGAAGACGTATTTTCACATTTGGTACAATGGTGAGGTTGACTGGTTTCTGCATTTTCAAAAGAATAAAGATTTCAGCAACACAAACATCGGCAACAATAAAAACGCCTTTATACTTCAGTTAGAAACTACATTTGCGATCCCGCTTGTCGATTAGTTCACCCTTTCCCCCTTTGATGGGGATGTCTAAGACGTTTATGCCCAAGCAAACCGTCAAACCAAAATTGGGAAAATGAGAGGGAAGCAATACCTAATTTCGTCGAACAACTTAGTCTATCTTGTGTTTTCTGGATATGTTTCAACGTCTTATTACCGGGAGTGCATTATTTTCATCCTTAGAGAGCCACCTTTTTTCTTCAATTGCATGGCCTGAAACACTGCAGAATATATTTCACCAAAACGACGTACCTGCGACTGAGCACAATTTTATATCGCTTCATGTAACAAAATCAGACAGTCGTAAATTCTGGGTTCAACGCTGTGGATTCCGTATTCCAGCTACTGCATTCCAGTCTTTGTAAGTGAAATTTAAATTCTAGATTCCAATCTTTTGTGATTTTCGATTCCTTAAGCTTTATTTCGGATTCCAAAGCCCAGGATTTCGGATTTTGAAGTGAATTTTTAATATTCCACAAGCAAACGTTATCCACAGTACAAGTGCTTTGGTTGCCCTTAGGTTTTTGTTATGTTTTGGCCTGTTTTTAAATTATAATACTAGATGGATGAAATGCTGGAAATGTTGTTATCAAAATAGCCCCATAGCTACCCCCACCGATCGATCTTAGGCTAACCTATTCCGTTTATTTTTATTAGTTTCAAAAGCAGGTGTTATTCTCCTCTTAATTTCGTTATTTTCAAACTGAACAAAACTTAATATAGGAAATGTTATTCTGATTCATAGGAACGATCTCGGCACTACTCACTCAGCTTAAAGAATCTTCGTCATCAGACTAAGCACAACTCATAAAATTCTCAAATAGTGTCTATTTCTTGCTGGTAACTACAGGGAAGAACAGAAACGAAACCAAACAATACAAAAAGAGAGGGGGTAGGTTTTTGTGGACTTATTCAATCTATGTATTAGTGAGAGGTTCCCAGTTGTAGACTAGCAAAGTTTAAAACAAACCTGGAAAAGTTTAATCTTATGACCTTTCAAACTAGATTGACGCAATAATAAACGAATGACTTTCAACAGTCCTAGTAAAGTAAACCCACCTCGTTTGATTCTCTTCAAAATATTGCTTTTCCGATAAATTTCAAATTTGCCTTGTTTCCCTTTACACATAAAAATAAAATGGTGACAAGTGAAATTAGAGCCTTTAGTAAACCATTTGATTACCTATTAATATCATGGATGACAAATAACCCTCTCAATCGTAAGTTTTTGGAATGTTTATCAGATCGATTAGCAATCAAGAACTCCACACGCACTGAAAATTTTCAGAATGTTTCCACAAAATACATGATAGAATCCTTCGTGATGCTCTTTCGTGTGTTTAGGTTTTCTAAAGCGTCTTTCAATGCCCTGACATGTTCATTCACAACATAAACTGACGCGTACGGAACGTAGCCATGGCAATTAACACGGAAATTTCACACCAAAATTAAGGAATAACTTGACACCCATGATATAAAAGTAAATATTAATTATAATTATCATATAAAATCTCCCAGAATCTTTTGAGGCAATTTTTTAAAAGCTTTATAATTTTGACAATTTTATATGTAGAAGAATTTCAGACCACAACAAGATAATATTTGCCATAAAATATCTTCCCGAGTCACACCTAGGGTTATGACGTCATTAGTCACGTGACTATTGCTGAATTAGTGTTTTTGTTGCTGTGACAACATTTCATTATCGAGTTTAAAAAAAAGCATATTTGAGGTTTTGGTTGTGTGGGGCAGTTAGAAATAACCAGTTGACGTCCGGCATTTAAAATTTAAGACGGAAATTAATATGAGCGAAAAAAACGAAAGACTAGGCCGAGGGCTGCATAGGGCCCTTCCACATTTCCCATAATGCACCTTATTTGCCCCCCCAAATTTTGCATAATCTTTGTTTTCCATTTCTCCTGAGTATTACAGCCGTCCCCAGAGAAATTAGGGAACTTAAGATAGAGACGTTTTCGGGGCGACGGCAACTTCAACCGGACGTGACATCATCATTTGTTGGATATTGCGCATGCTCGTGCTCACCACCTTGCCGTCGTGGTCCCGTCGGCGACGTGAAACTGGTCTGTTTGGCGTTGTGGCGAAAACGTGAGTATTTAACTGTCATTTCAATCAGGTTTGTTGCGTTTAGCAACCAACATTTTGCAGATTATCGTTCGTAAATTGTCCTTGTTTTCTTTGAGGCACATTTCAAGCTCGATTTCCAAGCTATGTTCGCTAAACTTACATCTTTGAATGTTTCTATGTTTTCATTTCACAGGGTCAAGATCCAACTTGGCAAAAAGCCAACCGTAAGTGAGCTTGACATGGGACAAAATTTTCCCACGAGCCAAATAAAAGTATCCAGACAAAAAATATGAACTCCGATATTTCAATTGTGTGTTTTTAGTTCGCTCTTTTCGTTAGAACATCGTATAAATGAAACGCATTGAAAATTATATAGAATAGTAGGTAATACCATGTACTAACTCGGCGTGGGAATACTGAAATAAAGTTGTTGCCGTTGTTGTTGTTGTTGCATGCAAGTATTTCCCGGGAATTATTTCAATGCCAAACTAAGAATACGGTTCCTTGGTAGCATTTTAATGTTCCTGTAATTTGCAAGGCTTCGGCAACCCTGTGGAGATCATTTTTTTTCAACACGAAATTCTGCCTTGAACTCAGCTGCATCCCGCATGTTTTTTAGCGTGAACGGATCGTAACTGTCCCGAGGAAAATCGGGATTTTTGGACTCATAATTTTTCCACAAAACGAGAAACTCTTCATCCGATACATGTTGTCTGCATAGCAAATATTTATTCTCTTAATTCTTTATGTGAAGCCATATTTTCCTCTTCGGTATTCTTCTAATTAAAGGCGCCGTCCTTCTGAGTTCACTGCGATCTTAATGTTCTATTTTTGACGGGGAGCGACGGCTGCCTTAGTTCCAGGCTTTCTCTGCCAGTCCGGTCGCCGTCGCCCCGAAAACGTCTCCATCTTAAGTTCCCTATTGAAAACAATGCTTAGCAAAATTTTGGGGGGCTAATAATGTGCATTACGTCAAACGACTTTGCACGGACCAAGCCTGAAACTGAGCTTTACGTCTGACTGACTGAACTATACACAGAAACCGAAATAGTCATTCTTGAAACCTGCCAATCATTATAGAGAGGGAATATATACCTAATATGAACGTTAAATTAGAGCGATTTGACAATGATCTCATTTAATACCACATAAGTTTTAGCTTAGTGGTTCACAGGCTGTTATAATAATATAGCAATAACATGCCCTTTCATCAACTTCAAGTTCTAGGAAGGAATGTATGTATATCGCATTTTTTAACCTCGCGTTCACGAGAAAAAAAATAAAACATTCGTAAATTGTACTCATTTTTTGATGACAATAAGCTTAGAAAACCAAACAGATGTTTGAATATCCACGCTATTCTTGAATCTGCTATGGTGCGAAGTGAAATGGACGTCGTTTTATTTTGCGAAACTTTGTCCAAGTCGACGCTTTTACCGTTGTTGATTTCACAATGCTTTATAATTATGAGGTCACGCGTCGGTTGTTATTGTCGTCTCGCGTTTCATCGTTGGTCATTTATTTATTAACAATTTGAATTAACGGTAGTAAATGACAAGGGTCGAAACTCGATAGGCGCTCTTGTACAATCAATGCCTCCAGTTGACTGGACCACTTTACGACGCAATGCCGTGCGAGGTAATATTCCACGATGACCACTCAGTTAAAACGAAAACAACAAGGCAATATCTGTATGTATATGCAATCGAACTTGAAACAATCTCAGAGCCAAGTAGAAAAGCCCAAGAAACTCAAAGTCAAAGGCAAAGTTAACTTCCGGTCCAGTCAAGTGGAGGCATTTATAAATCGAAAAGTCAGTAACCAACCATTTTGAATACGAAGATTTTTATTTTAAATAAAAAAAAAAAATGGCCCACCGTACATTTTATCCCTTAAACTGTTGTTGGAATGAATTTCGTGAAAAAACCGCTCGTAATACGTGAGTACGGCTTGAAAATAAATCGGTCATCAAATTAATTTCATCCCTTGTCTCTTTTCTCTAACTCTCTCTCGAGTTGTTAATAAATTAATAACCAACCACGAAACACGAGACGATAATAACAACCGGCGCGACTGACACCAACAGTGAAATGAGAACCAAACCACATAAAGCCTTGTGTAATCAACAACGGTTAAAGCGTCGACTTGAATATAGTTTCCGCATCGTAAAACAACTTCCATTTGACTTCGCACCATAGCAGATTCAAGAATAGAACAAAACAGGTAAGATTTTATCTCTTATTTAATTTCCATTTGCAGTTTACAAATAAGAGGGTGGTGGGTTCCCTATGTTTTTTCCCACGATTGAAGTTATTTAATTATTTATTTCTTTATTTTTAAGAATGTAGGCCCAGGACTTCTTATTTAAAATAAAGGAATAAAGAAAAAAGGTGAATAAATATTTAACAATTAGACCCGTAGCCCTTGCGGGCTACGGATCAATAGCCCATGAGGCGAAGCCGAAGGGGCTATTGACCCTTGGCCCTTGAGAGCGAAGGGTGTAATTGTTTTAGTATCACCCAACTAGTCAGACAGAAAAGGCAATAATAAAGTTAGCAAATGCAAGTTGAAGAAATATTTATCTGAGAATAAAACAAAAGAAAGCGTCACGCTCGACTGCGCCAAATTTGCATAAATGTGCATAACTGTCAAGTTTTTGAAACACGTGATACAAAAGGGTAGCGTGTGAAAATTCATTCATTCATAAAGACGTGAAGTTCTTGAAAATCCAGCCAAAACTGTTCATAAAAAAATAACAAACAAACAAACAAAAACAAAAACAAAAAAAACAAGTTGGCGATTGATAATTGGGCCAAGTTTTCAACAGTTTGTAGATTTTAAGTTCATCGCATGTAGTTGTTGTTTACCATAGAAACAGAGCAGCCATGAAAGCTGAAAGACTGTGGCATTTCATTTTCACTGTTGACTGTTGATCCAGTGGAGCCACAGAAAGAGTGCTTGCTCCAGTAAGCTCCTTCGATGTTGAAGCACCCTTGAGTACAAGAACTCGTGGTTCTGCGGCGTCACCAGAGATGAAGCCGCTCAATATGTTGAACATGTTCTCTTTCTGCTGAAAGGAAGCCCTGGAACAGTACGATTCAATGGAGTTGTCTGATTTTTTCCTTAATATGCCTGGCTGCGATGTTGGGATCTGAGAGCACTGTAACTGATGTAGCTTGGACGCAGTGGTCAGTTAGATGAGGAGCTATTCCGGCAGATGTTGACATGTTTTTCATCATGTTTTCGAGTGTGCTTTTACCGACGGGGGAATTTCAGTACCACATTTCATCTTTTTGTGGCTTGAACTTTGTTGACACTTCTCTTAGTCGTTGAAACAGAGGCTGCAGGTTGGGATTTGGGATTCAGGTGTTTAAGGAAGCGTTCAAGGGTTTTCACCGCGCAGAGCTTTGAATTAGAAACCTCAAACATTTAATTGCCGCATTCGTCGGGGTTATCTGTCAAACCGTCCTTGAGGTGTACACCGAAGAACCAACATGTCTGAGGTGAGCTTTCTCTGATTTTCACGTCCCCTTTTACCGAAATAAAAGGTTATGTAAAACCATGCAGTGCGGGGGAGTTGAGACGGATCCAAGGTATCCCACTCGCCGAGTTGCCCTGTTTCGTACAGCTGTTGCAGTTGTTCGCTCGTGAACAACAACAACAACAAAACAAAACTTACCATTAAAGATCTTCATTCCGTACTTTGCTGCCTTTTCGGTCTTTTCTGGGATGGAATTATCCAGTAAATTATCTAAGACCTCCTTTGAAATTTCCACAAAAAGCGAAGCGGCCGCAATTGTTTCTGTAGATTTTTAAAGCCGTGGACTTCGCCACTCGAGGACTATTACTAATAGTCCTCTAGTAGCGTAACCAATTAAAATGCAGGATTTGCATTAGTTGACTAGCTGGGTGATACTAAATAAATATATTACTACAAATGATGATTATGATGGTAATAATGATAATGATAATAATCCTATCGGTCAGCTGTTACTCACCCAACTTGCGTAAGCACTCCTTGTAACAGGCCTGTTGGGTCGATATCTGCAAACCATAGACCATAGCATATTGATTAGGAAACTCAGTCATTATGAAATTCGTGGAATTAAAAGCGACACGGGCAGGCAACATGTTTATACTTTTAGCATTAAAACTGATGATACTGTTATTACTCATGGGTTCCCTCAGGGTTCTGTCCTATGCTCTTTCCTATTTCGTGTGTATATCAACGACTTCAGTTGAGTTTCTGTTTTTTTGTAAATGCTAATAATGCATTTTATGCCAAACGTAGTCCATCTGAAATGGAGGTCATCTTTGATAATAATTTAAAACCAAATTTCAATTACCTCATGGCAAACAAGCTCTCCTTAAATCTTGAAAAGACAAACTTCATTATATTTCAACCCATCCTCTCGCCCCCCATCCTCCTCCACCCCTCTCCCCCCCCCAAAAAAGCCAAATTTTCAAATAACCAAATAAATTATTCATAACAAAGAGATATGTCACCAAATTCACTGAATACTAAGGACTTAGTTGAAAGTTCAATATTTTGCATCGGAATACTTCCAAAAATTAGATACTTCGTTAACCAACAAGTCCCTATTCAGTTATGTTACACAGTAATTTATTCCTAATTAAATTATGTCATTTAGTATATCTAGACAATGCTCTTTTTTGTGTAGGACTTTAATTCAAACAAACTCCCGAGAAGTTACTTTTTATTCTACTTTATGCGACTACTCAGAAAGGTACGTCTAGTTGGTTTATCATTGTGCCAGTTAGAGATATGGACTTTGATTTAAACAAGAGTGAGTCTCGATCGGAGATACTGTGAAACCCAGGTACGACTGGGAAGTTCCTGATACGCCGTCTGCTTGTGTTTCTGGGGACATTTGCAATTTGGATCACGCTATGATATGCAAACGGGGCGGATTTGTCATCCAACGCCATAATGAACTGAGGGATCTAGAGGCGGAACGCTTAGCATGCATATGGTGTGTAAAGACGTTCACGTCGAACCAGTTTTGCTAGACACCACAGGATAATAGTTAAATAAGGGAGCCAGCACAGCCTTAGATGCGCGGCTGGGTATCGTTGTTAATGATTCTGGAAGAGGTAGAGTTCCGCTTTCTTTGTTGTGAGGATTTGCCACCCGAATGCAGACTCCTATAGAGACTGGATCCAGACCAGATATTCAGTCAACACGAAACAGGGAAAAAGCGCAAGTACGCCATTACTTTTCAGCACGACAGATGGAATGGCGATGGAATTTCAAGGATATCATTGTACGCTTGCCCCCGCCAAAACATAAATAAATAATAATAATAATAATAACCCTCTCCCAAGATTTTACCTTTTTTGATATTTTCTGTTATTCCCTACTTAATGTGATTGGACTTGCTATGAAGACAATATTTACAATTTCCAATACTACAGAGAACTGTTTATCAAAAAGCATAAATCAAAAGATAGAGAAGAAAATTTCGGATCCCTAGTGATAGCTCGCCCTGAACGTGTGGCATTTGGCCTCTCATTGGCATCTTCTTCGTCTGAACAAAAGAAGCTACCTTTCTAAAAGCGCGTGGCTGTTCAAAAAGGGCGAGAGACTTTTCAACGCCAGGGTACCAGCTGAAGCCCAGTGATGGAAGAAAACTGAACCCTTCCATCAAAGAGCAGAGAGGAATGGTGGAAAGGTTGAAAAATGTGAAGGAACACGAGTTCACACTCTTTCAGTTAAATGGGCTTGCTTTAAAGCAGGGCGAAGAATTTGCCCACGGTTTCAACGTAAAACAGATGGAATGTATACATTGTATATTAAGAAGCTAAGTTGACTAATTAAAGGTGACTCAAGACATGGAAGCACTAGAAAATAAGAAGAGAAGTTATGGTAGCATATTCAAGGGAATACACAAACAGCACTTCAACAAAAGGAGAAGGAAAAAAGAAAACCGCAGAAAGTCAAATGAAAGAAAGAGGAAGCAGACTGGAACCAACGTCCGACGAGTTTATGGAATCTATGTTGAAAACCCGCTAGGAAATGATCTTCCGCAATGCCTTGTGTACTCTGTTAGCCTGGCCGTCCCGGGAAGAGTGTATCGAAGTTGAGGTTTGCTACATGGTTATTTAGACGAGATGGGTCATACATCGCACAGCTCTTAGACGGGAATTATTTCAAAAATGCTGCAAGAAGAAGAATCACCACCAACCTTCAGCGAGACGTCAGACACTACAGGCTGTATGTTCACCCCTTCACCTCTCTTGTGAAAAATGAACGGTCCCAAAGAAGGGTGAAAGCTTTGCGACTAGCATGCCATGGATCCGGGCTAATGTGTCATTTGCCATGCTAAGTTCAGCTTTGCTTTATAATTAAGAGGCTCGCGAAAGTCTAAAATAGTCCCTTTAGAACCGTCGGACACGGATTTAGATGTTGAAAAGGGACTCGCAAATATTCAATAAGACATTAAAAACGCTATTTTATACTGTTTTTAATTTGAATACATTTTTTTAATTGAAATGATTTTATTAATCGAAATTAAGTGTTATTTTAAACAAAATGTATCGTAAATAGGATTTTCTCGATTAGCTTTGATTTTAATAACAGGTTATTAACAACGGTTTCCTCCTAAGAGCATAAAAAACGTTAAAGCTAAAGTTATCCAGAGTACTCTACCATCCGCAGTTAGAAATATATTCTAGGGGGCGCTAGAGGATTTGTGTATACGACAGCGAAAACGGTCCTCCCAGTTGAATAAAGAACCTGAAAAAATTCAGGCTTGACCGGCAACACATAAGCCAGGGTTCGATTCCCGGTCAGATCTGATTTTTTTCAGGTTCTTTTTCAACCGAGTTGGTTCTTCATCTTTCATATCGCTATGCAGTTCAAAATAAGATTCATTTCCTATATTTTAATTCAAAATTCAAGCCAAAATCTGCATTAGTTAGGTCATCCTTGAGCCTGTCCGAATTTAAAAGGGCGTCAAAATTAAAGAAGCAATTTAAAGGTTTATGAAGGTGACATTTCCTTTTAATTCGTCTATTAATCAAATTTTGCACCCGAAAATAGTAGGCTTCCTTTTGAGAAGTATTTTCTAGTAATAATAGCTAAACCTCGGAGGTGAAATGTGAAATTTCAACTTTCCAAAATGCTAGGGAATTTATTAGATAAGCTTCGAAATTCGTGTATGAATAGAGAATCCACAAATTCCATAGGCAATACTTAATTCTTCGAACAGATATTTTACAGAACTAGACGCATATGAAACTGCGTGAGGCCAGGCTTGGACCACGAAGCGCGATCATTTTTAACCAGTGATAAATCACGTGCTAAGGGTGTTTTTGAACAGCTTTAGAAACTTCCTCTGAGTATTTCATCTCGATAGGATTGCTAAAAAATGCATTAATTTTCTTTTTAATACGTTTTGACAAGAGAGAATGGTTTTAATTGAAAAAAATTAAACAAATAAGAAATTTTGGGCAGAAATATTTGTGCAAATGCATTATACCATTGAATTGAGGTAAAAAGTTTAAGCGTCTACTTGCCTTCATACGGCTGTCCAAAGGAAAGAAATTTCACAGTTAACCGGCTGCACAAGAGGAAAAAATTTCTCGAGAAGAGTGTCGCAGAACATACGCATTTGTTGATCTGCGTCCCTGATACTTGCACCCAAACGTGTTACATGGCCTCGTAATGGTAGTTATAATGACAGTAATGATTAACAATAATAATAAAAAAAATCATTTTTATCATCATCATCATCATCATCATCACAGCATGAAGATGACGATGATAACGACGACGACCATGACCGATGATGATGATGATGGCGATGATGATGATAATGACAATGATGATGATGATGATGATGATAATGATAATGATGGTGATGATGATGATGATGATGAATGGTGATGATGATGATGATGATGATGAGGAGGAGGAGGAAAAGGAGGAGGAGGAGGAGGAGGAGGAGGAGGAGGATGAAGATGAGGATGAGAATGCGGACGATGATGATGATGACGATAAAAAGTCCCTCAATCTTAGTGATGGACTTGTCGAAATTATACCGAAATTCGTTGTGTCGCGCTGTGCGTTTTTGTAAACTTCGAAGGAATTTTGGGTTTTTCTGTTCTGCCAATCATCTTAGCAGACCTCTTAGGAAATTTTGTTTACCTGCACGAGTTCAAAAGGTCATGGTTTGAGATCCGTGATTGGTGGATTTCGATCAGTTTTGTTTGTTTTGCGTTTCAAGGTTGCGTTGTGATCGTCCTGTTTCGGGGAATTATCGACTAGTTAAGTTTGCTTTGCAGATTTTTCTGATCTTTCTGATTCTTGTCACTTGCAAGAATAAAGCAACGTCTGCCTCCTTCATTCAAGAAAAAATCCACTCATCATCGCGATTACCTTTGCTATTCTTGCCAGTCTAGAGTCATTCTCAGCCAAGCTGGGCGAGCACGTAACATTGTGATTTTCATTAACCCCGCCTTCACTAAAATGATTGACGGAACAGAAAACCCAAAATTCCCTCGAAGTTTGACATATGAGTAGCGCGATACAACGAATTTCGCTGTAAACTGGTGTTAATTTGAGAGAAAATTATCTGAAGACACGTTTTGCGTCGGCCATTTAAACAAATTGGTTAATTGCGGGTTTCTACTCTGTGTTCCAAGCCGGCTCTGAACCCCGTTTTCATGATGACTCAGCTGCCCATAAAGTTCATCATGATGGCCAACACTATTCACATCTATAGATATTTTAAGATGGAAGTAATAAAGCAGGATGAAGATAAAGTCAACGATAACAGTGGTCATGATATCTGGTCAGCGCCTCATCTTTCACAATATTGACGATTGATGCATTCTGTATTCGTTTCGTAACTGAAGCACCACATAACGGAAGTTTTAAGATTTAAAATCTATTTGAAGAGTACGGTGGCTGGATTTGATTATGAATGACGTTGTATTTTAATGCATTTATTCTAGTAGTGCCAAGAGAACACCCATCCTGTACAGCATTTACAGATCAGATTTGCAACTGCAAGCAGGCGACGTTTGTCCATCGGTTTCTATTCCTTACCTTGGCTCCGAGGGTTCTTCTAAATTTCTGAACACCAGAATGAAAACAATTTACCATGCAGCGTCGTCTCATTTGTCTTTTTTGGTCCTTGCCCAAATACTAAGCAGAGCAATTAAGCAAGAAAAATACGAACAACCTTCGCCTTGAACATGGCGTCCGCGCAATATCCTGCCTGTGTCCTTTCCTAAAAAATCGTCATGAAAAACCGGGGATGATGACGTGGGATATTGTTCAGACGTGTCTCTAGAGGTCAACTGTGTGACGTATTTCTTCAAGCTATTTTACTTAATCTCATTGCTAAAGGCGGACTTGACCTACTTCCAGTATGTATAAAAATTGGTTTCGAGAAATTTCTAGCTAATTAAGCTGATACTCAGTAATCAAGGCTCGAGAGAAATGTTATTGGAAATAAAGAGGTCTTGGAGAAGACAGGAACATTTTATGTGCACTGTATTTCCGTTACAACTAAGAGGGCAACAAAACTGTTTATGAATAGATTTTTACGGAAAAAATCATGAAGAGTCGGAGCTTTTAAAAGCAAACTAAAACAAAGAAAAATAACATGCATGCAATAATATCATTTCATGAATTTGCGCAAAGTTGAATGGAAAGAAACCTTCCGGGAAAGAAGTTTCGGAAAATTTGGGTACACTTCGCTAGGCTGTCCTTTTTTTACTGTTCCAACAACTTGTGACTTTTGTTTTGTACAAATGAATTTGGCTTATAGTTGTGTTATAGTAGGAAAGAAGGAAATAAACTATATTTTCCGTTAGGAAACTTTATTAAACCTTAGGGATTTGATTAAACAATTTTAGAATACACTTTTCTAGAATTGTTTTAATTTTTAACAAACAATCATAAGTGAATATGGTGACTTTTAAAGAAAATTCCCAAGACATACATGTACGTGGCTTAGACAATTCCAGAAATAAGTGATTTCATTTTTAAAGAGTTTTTCAGCTGGCTTTTAAGGGTGTTTTTGAAAACTTGCTTTTATTTTCAAGTTTTGTTACAAAGAATGAGCTTAAATTTTTATTTTATTTGTAATTAAAACGGGTTAAAACACTATTAAAAACAGATTAAAACACCCTTAAAACCAGGCTAAAACACCCTTAAAAGCAGGTCAAAACACCGTTAAAAGCAGATTAAAACACCGATAAAAGCAGGTTAAAACACCTTTAAAAAAAGGTTAAAACACCATTTAAAAACAAGTTAAAACACCTTTAAAAACAGGTTAATTCACCATTAAAAACAGGTTACAACAACATTAAAAGCAGATTAAAACACTTTTAAAAACTGATTAAAACATCATTAAAAACAGCCTAAAACACCACTGAAAACAGGGTTAGACAACATTTAAAGGCAGGTTAAAACACCATTCAAAACAGGTTAAAACACCATTTAAAGCAGGTTAAAACACCTTCAAAAACAGGTTAAAACGCCTTTAAAAAGCGGTTAAAACACCTTTAAAACAGGTTAAAACACCATTAAAAACAGGTTAAAACACCTTTAAAAACAGGTTAAAACACCATTAAAAAACAGGTAAAAACACCATTAACAACAGATTAAAACTCCATTAAAAATAGAATTTGGTACCTGTTTTAAATGAAGTTCTCAAATACAATTAAAATAGTTTCAAAAATATATCAAAATTATGTTAAAAATAGTGTTTGGTTCGGTACGGGTCAATGCTATTAATGTATTCTTTTCGTGGTCATAATGTAACAGATGTTTTAAGATTTGAAATTCATTTGAGTAGTACGGAGTCTGCATTTGATTATGAATGCCGTTGTATTTCGAAGCATTTACTTTAGTAATAGCAAGAGAACACCCATCATGCACGGCACCGTTGTAACTTCCTTACCTTGTCCGCGAGGGTTCTTCTAAATGTCTCAACACCGGAATGAAAACAATTTACCATGCAGCGTCTTCTTATTTGTCTTTTTTGCTCTTTACCCAAATTGAGAGCAGAGCAGTTAAGTAAGAGAGCAAACAGGCACGGGCACATGACGCAGAAAATACGAACAACCTTCGCCTTGAACATGGCGTCCGTGCAATATCCAGACTGTATAAAAAAATATATGGATCATGATAAAGTTCCCTATTAAATTCCCAAAGAAATCGTGATGATAACCCGGAGTAACCAGAGGTCAGGTGTGTGACGTATTTCTTTCAGCTATTTTATTTAACCACATTGCTTAGGGCGGACTCGAATTACGTCCAGTGTGCAAAACAATTGGCTTCGAGAAATTTCTAAGGAATTAAGCCGATACTTAGTAATCAAGACTAGAGTGAAACGTGACTGGAAATAAAGAGAAGGTATTGGAGAAAACAGGAACCTTCTATGCGTACTGTATTTGCGTTACATCTAAGAAGACATTATTTACGAAGAATCATGAATAGTCGGAACAGAGTTTTAAAGCTAAGCTAAAACAAAGGAAAAACAACATACAAGTAATAATATTATTTCATGAATCTGAGCAGTCTCAAACGTGACCTACAAAACCTTTCGGGTGTTACATGTATTTTTGTCTCATTGTTCTTCATGCTGATTCATTTCCATGCAAACTCTTAGTCAAACGATCCGGCACGAAATAAAATGCTTATTTTACGGAGTTATAGTTTTCCATGTGAATAACTATCCTTGACAGCGGGCAGAATAAAGGAAAGACTTATGACAGTTTTTAGTGAGAATAAGATTTCACTCGAGGATGGCAAAGACAGATATTAAATGCCATGATCATATCAATAGATAAATCATCAATAATGCAACTCTTAAAACGGCAAACAGTACATTATGCATGAATGTCCAACATCCGCCGCATGACGGATTTCATCACAAAGTTGTCAGTTTGTCAGACACACATCAACTCTTTTAATAGAAGGAAGAGATTTTAAAGCAAATACCCGAAGTAAGCAAATCGAGTTCTGAGTGCACCGGGTTCACAACCGTTAAGGGCGCGTATATAAAAGATCTTATAAACCGCTTCACAGATTAGTTTTAAATACAATAATATATCCCAGTTAAATCGCCAATTAACTTCACGCATTTGCCAAACCATAAGTGTATTCATTAAGGGTGGATTCATTTGCAACATACACGTATATATTTACCCGTTGGAATTTTTTATTGTTTTTAAAAACAATAAAAATGCTACAGCTATACGCGTATGTTGCAATTGAATCCACCCTAACTTAGTTCAATTATTAATGCACAGAACTAATTAAAGACTCAGCCCCGCAATTAACAGAAGTGTCTCCGAAACTTTCCACAGACTGCTGCTTGAAGTTATGTGTAGTCCGAGCTCTGTTTTTCAATTAGCGTAATATAATATAAAAGCATTGTAAACGCACAATGGAATGACGTCTGAAATGTGAACTTGCAGCTCATCCAAGTGAAAGAGAAATGATCTCGAATTGTATTCCTTACCTCATAGGTCAGTTGTGTTCTTACAAGATCTTTGGTCAAGTGAGCGCATGTCCTCGTGCAATTTATCCTCGCAGTTTGCTCTTCCTTAAGTTTGTTGATAGCGCAGCAGAGTTGCAATCCTGCACACAACCAACACGCAACACAGAGAATTCGGTAGATCACCAATGGAAACATACCGTGATTTCAAACCTGAGCTTTGATTAGCTTTACTCAGTTGATTATCACTGACAAGCACGCTTAGCGATAGCGTGTGAGTTTTAAAAATAATCAAGTATGAATGAGTCAGTCAAGAGGGCAATAATTAAGCTAAGAGGTATGTGAGACAGGCACGGATTTAGTGTAGGCAAACTGAACATTTAGCCTCCTACGCAGACATTCCGATCTTAACAGGGGCTTAGTCGCAAGCTCCTTGCCGATGACGAACGCGTGAGGAAACCCTAAGAACCTCTGCGTGGGAGGCTTCTTATGTTCCTCCCGTCTCATAGTATCATGACTATATTTGGAATAACTTGAAACACAAGATCATGAGGTCTCCGAATTTGAAATAACATTACAATTCCTCCACGTCTTCATTTTGTATTTGTTGATTAATTTATTCAGTTGTTTAGTTGTTCCCAGTTGATTTTAGGGTTAAATTGCATTTGATGGCTTCGTATTAGTATAGGTTATAGCATGATTTGTAGTTATATTTGGCATAAATACCAAGAGTGATATTTCGAAATTGTTATACGTAATTTAACGAGTCGTTGAGCGGGTGAAATGTGAGGCAATTTTATTAGCTTTCCTTTTTTTAACAGACTACTTTACACCGTTGTAAATTACGTTTATGATCATCTTATGAGGTGAAAATCTATTGTCACTGCAATCATCTCTCTCATAAGTAACACCTCGATCTATAAGACGAACACCTCACTAAAAAGGGTACCTAGAGTCAGTCCCTGATCTGTTTCAAGAACTGTAAACAATTATCTCTAAGACTGACACCTTTGAAACCGACACTATGTGTGGTAAAAATTCCATGTACAAACTACTTTTGCTCGTTTTAGAACGTTAGGCACATTGCCACGATCGATCATAAATAACCGCCTCAAGAAATATAGTCCTCAAGCGCGATTGGCTTGCGTGATCTGATTGATTTTAAAACATCCCCGATGCCTTCACGAGATACGTTTGGCCTTACAAGTTTGGAGAAGTGCGCTAGGAGCAATGTTTTAATCGGCAATATCAATTTATTGCCCTCTGATGGCCCGGGAGGGGGGGGGGGGCAATCAAGAAAGTTTTATACGAGGAGGCTCCTCCCCGAGGTCCAACCACTTACACTTTTATGTATTTTTTCTGACGAAAAAGGTCCCCCTTTTCTTATAACTTCTGTTGAGAGTTGTTACCCCTTTCATGAGCCTAGTTTACAACTTTGCGCCCCTTTAAGCTATAATTTACCAATGCATTGTCTTTAAAATATGAATAAATCATAAAGCCAGAACATTTACTCGACTTACTGTTTCTCGGTCATAAGATGAGTCTGTTAGTCCTTTTGGGCCTCTCTAAGGACCGAAATGATAGATTTCCCAATCCTTTCAGATATTTTAACAAGTGAAACATGCCTGAAGCCTGGGAAAAGTATCCTTTTTGGGCGCAGCCACCACGTATATTCCCTTATAGGAAGTCCCCCCCCTCCCCTTCCTGGGGTAGACAGTCGATCCAATAGCGCTTTATACTATTACTAAAAATAGGTTTTGTCACCTTAGACCCCCCGCGTGACTCAGACAAACTTTGCATTCTACTCCAAGGCATTGTATGGGAAACATACGTTTCCGACATGAAAACGGTTCATAAAATTCGCAGTTAGCGTTTTTAAAATGTTTTTTGAGCATTATTCCAATATATAAAAGGCCCTACTGCTATTGGGAGCAAAACCTGGTCCAGTAACTCAAATAAATGGTTAAAATCAGAAAATAAAGCGACTCGATCAAAGAAGGCTACTGAAATCGGATCCCTAGCTCTCTGTCTTAGGGGTCTTAGGCAGAAAGCACCGCTATGCACTGAAACATGACATAACATTATTGGCTGTGTAATACTCCAAAACCGAAATTGCTAAAGAGAAAATCGAGTTGGGATGTGCTTCTCGCAGGCCTGTGACAGAATATCTACGGTGAAAAGCACACCAACATTAGCACAAACCGGAAATTGTATAAGTTTGTTCTGTTGTTGTGCGGCCAGGTAGACCATATGAATCCGCGACGAATACTTTAGTACTTTATATCCCGTAGTACTATAGCGTAACATAAGCACTCGAAAAAAAATTGAGCAACCTTTGTCTATAAATTTAACCAAATGCAGCGTTTCACGCATAGCTATGAAGCCCTGTTCTCCACACATTTTAACACAATTTTATCCACAGCAAATATGACGCCGCATAAGAAATAAAACCACTCATCTGTACAGTTTTTTCCACGTTTAACGCTGTCTTGGCACGAGTTGATTATTTTCAGGACATTTATTATCGAAACCAAGGTGGATTTTGTTTCGTTTAACGATAAACATCTTCACAGACGACGAAAATTTGTTACCGAACGTGACTTTCCCATACTAAACTCTTACACTGGTCAGGTTTAATGTCTGAGTCACAGCAGGGACCAGAAATTTGTGACGTCATTAGTAGAAAGCGCTATTCTGAACTTCCTTAGCGATTTGTCGGTATGTAAAGCAAAGCATTCTATTTCCAGACAAAACTAACAACCGTGACTACAACTGATAACACACGTCTTGTGGATTACAGAAATCACGATTGATTTAGACAAACCGGTGACGATCTGAAAACATACCGATTATTAATCTCCTCAGGAGGCAGCTGCGTAACTGGTTTATGTACGTGATCCCATTATTAAAGGGCGGATGTTATCCAATGTATTACCATCGCACCGTCAAAACTTTATTTATACAAGTAGATTGTCGGACAGCAGCGTTCGAGTAATTTTAAGGAAGTGGATAATCATTACTCAAGACTGGAATTAAAGATAATGAAAAAAAAGTGTTGGCAAAAACAGAGCTAAGTCCTGGTCACCACCGAGCCGCGACCTGCTAACGCTATGAAAAAACATATTTACAAGAAATCATGCTAGAAGTAGAGCATAAATTGAAAGAACACTCAACTGCAGTTTGCCTCCTACAATGTTATGAAACTAATTTCTACCAGATTGTACGGATCGTGTTTAGCCGTAGCTTAAAGCTTATTATAATATTTTGTTTTGTTTTGTTTTGTGTTTCTCTCAAACCCGGTTTAGCGTAGCTTAAAGTCTCATAGGAATGTGTTAATCATTTTTAGCCATAAAATTATGGTTGTTATGAGTTGGTCATGTATCGAAGAAAGCATCAAGAACTGAACGTTTTTTTGAAGAGCAGAGATAATGTGTTCGCATTGACAATGCACGCCATCCCATACCCATAAACCCAAGTTGGGTTTCCCATTATACTACAGCTGAATCTCAGTTGCTTCAAATGTGACCGACTAAGCCTGGCGTTGTTTTCTTGCTTAAAAGGGGGACTTCAAAAAATCCGCAGCTCAGCTCAAAAATGTTGAAAGTGGCCCTGTGTTGTACTAGGTAAACAAGTGCTGTTGGATTTTCTCGAGTTGACAATCAGAAAACAGTTTTTGAAAGCTTGTTGTTTGTGGTCGACACAAACATTTATCTTGGTTTCGGCGCAGAAATTTCAGTTGTGTATTTTGTGATGTGTTCAATTCGAAAATATCAGAAAGTCCAACCCTAAACCTTTGGCCTTAAAAAGAAAGTTTTGCTTGTTCACGCTAACTTTTCGAACCAATTAAACTGCTGTCAAAACATCCAACACAACCATAATTAAAGAGTGATTTTGACAGTATCTAACAATTATGTCAACAAGAATACTAATATATAGATTTAGCCAGGGCTAAAAGCGAGGCTCCCATTAATAAATTTATAATTTAAATTAAACAATAAATTTGTATTCGAATTCCACAATTCAGTTAACTTTAGAGCTCATTTATGTGACTTTTGAGGGAAAGGCTACCGGATTTTAGAGAAAAATAATTTGCAAACAGCCCAAGAGTGAACCAAATCTTACATCGAGTTGATAGCCTCATATGTACACCCAAAAACGATCACATTTAAGAGCCATAATGGCTCTTGATCACCGTAGATTAATTAGTGGAAAACTTTTAGGCCAACTTTTTTGCGTTCGACAAGTTTACTTTGCAAAATCTTGTCAACAAATCTGGGTGCGTGTAAATCAACCTTTTATACCATTTATACATCACATCTGAGGTGAAACAGTAGTATGAGGCACTGTTTTTATCATACCGGCAGACCTCGGACAGAAAGCAGTATTTCACAATACAAATTGCACTCATTCAATATTCGTAAACCGTTAAAAAAATTTCCAAAATCACCTATACGGCCATCCGGTTCTCACTTTTGTAGTGCGAGCTATGGCGAGTGTTTGAATGAACATTAACAGAGTTACGCTCCAACATTATAAAGAATTTATTCTGTTTATTTTTTATTTAATGGTTTATTAACGCGCGGCATTTTGAGTACTCCTGCAAGCGATGTTCACTGAACGACTGAAAACAATCGGCACAGCGATTAAAATTACAAGAGAGACTACTAACAATCAATAAAAGAAATATAATTCGGTGAAACATATACAGAGACAACAATTTTCATTCAGGAAGACAAGTATTAAAGTATCCCTAAAAATCCTGAGTCTTCAAGCTTCAAGCTTAAGTTTATGTTTTATGTTTATGTGTTTGCTTTTTTCAAAGACGAACTCGAGGCAAGAAAATCGCTCAAAGCTTTCTTTTCCGGCCAGAATTATAACTAAATATTCTTTGGAACGTTTTCTCTCTATTTGCGGTGAGAAACTGCATCTAAAGGCTTTTTAAAGTTCTGTAAGCTCATATGAAACCTGATACTCGGTCAGATCATTGTCTCAAATCTTACAAACGTGCATAAACTAAATGACCGCATAAACTCCGCTCGACTTCATTAAATTAGATCCAAAAAAACAAACATCAAATACAATAATTTCTCTGGCTTACCATTCGAGATGCAGCTCCTGAAAGGTATTAAGAAAAGCCAGTA